TCGTACTTTGACGTGCCTAACTCTGCTCTTGCCATGTGGGAAAGCTTGTGTGGAGGTGTGCATGTGTGCACTGACTTGCAGGAGTATATTCAGATGACATTTATCTTGAGAAAAAAAAAAAAATTTTTGAGATGCCCCTCATCAGAACGAGGGTTCCCGTACCGTATATACTTACACCGAGGACCAGCTAAGTCTCAAAGCTCACTAACTCAAGAAGTCATGGGTCTTGCGGGTACGAAAGTGAAACAAAGGTTTGGTCTAGATCCAAGAAACACAAATTGGTCTAATGACACAGCAAGATTCGGACACCAGTACTTGTCCAAAATGGGATGGGCACCAGGATCGGGTCTAGGATTAGTAAAGGACTCGTTGACTACCCATTTAAAGATTCATGTCAAAACTGACAATGCAGGTCTTGGAGCTAAATTGAAGAAAGCCGACAAAGACAAGACATTGGATGAGTGTAGTGGACTTGATGCATTTCAACGGATTTTGGGAAGGTTGAATGGTAACGAGGAGAAAGTCAATAATGTACTTGACATGAAGCGGAATGATGCTATTTTGAATGGTAAATGGGGGATGAGATTTGTCAAGGGAGAAGTTTTACTGAGCACTTGGGATAAGGATAGCAAGACTTTGATATCATACAAGAATTCGCAAGAGAGTAAGAAGCGAGATTTTGCCGAAGTGGACGAGGGAAATTTAGAGGAGAATCTTCGAAGGAAGAAGACCAAATTGGAAAGTGACAAATCTGATGAAGATGAGACAAGGAGACTGGAACAAGATAAGGACAGAAAGCGGAAGAGGAAGGAAAAGTTAGATAGTGAACAAAAGGCTAAGAAGAAGACAAAGGAAAAGCAAGCCAAAAAGGATAGATCGGCTAAAGAGGAAAGGAGTAAGAAGAAAGCGAAGAAGGATAAAGTGGATAAAGGGGAGGAGAAGGAAAAGAAGGACAAGACAAAAAAGAAGGATAAAAAAGAAAAGAAGGAAAAGAAGGAAAAGAAGGCAAGAAAAGAAAAGAAGGAGAGACGAAATAAACCATCCAATCAAGATAGCGACTCCATCAAGGTGGTACTACGAGAGAAGCAAGACTTCGATACGTCTACATCTATTGTGGACTCGCAACTGTCTCGAGACTCCACTCCAACCCCAATTGCATCCAGATTGTCAGGAAGAGCTAAATACATTAAACAAAAGCGGGCATCCGTCATGGATCCAAAGGCGTTGAATGAGATATTTATGATTTCTAAATAGAGGCTTATATATTGTTCAATGTACATTTTTCTAATGAGCATGTGGCGGTCCGCCTTTCATGAGCAATTAGTCTCAAAGTATAAATGAAACTCCACCTACAATGGCCGTAACCAAAGTGACATAAGACACCAATTTGAGCTTGGACATGTTTGGAGAGTGGCTGTTATTTGCATCGTTGGTGCTTGACCTTGATCCTGATGTGGTTGATTGGGAATTGCTGTTTGTTGATGTTCCAGTTCCTTGTGCTCTTCTACTCGATCCAACGCCACAGCTTGAGGTTGATTTTGCGTCATTGTTGACTGACGCACTTCCATTGAAGTCACAAGCATTACTATTTTCATTTTGATCGTGGTAGTACAAGTTCAAAACAAACGATAATTTGTCACGATGCGAGCAGAAGGAATAATCACCATAATCACCAGAGGTTCCATCAACGCTAATGTCAGAACAGTCAATCCTGCCGCATACATCTGCATAAAGGTCCCCGTAATCATCTTCATCAACGTCTTCAGCAACCACGCATTCAAATGATTTGGCAATACAATCACAAAAGTCCTTGTCTGGAGTAGGTGGCAAGTCTGCTGAAGCTTGCCAAGTGGAGCTGTCAGTGTCCGGGCATGTAATGGTCAGGGTTGCAGTATTTTCATTGGAGGCTCTAGCATAGCTGGGGCTTATGTTGTTAATTTCCGAACTATAGTATTCATAATCATCCAAGATTGAGACTGATGAGCCACTAATGGAGACCAAACCATATTGGTTAGCTTCTTCGAAATACATGTACACAATACCTCCGGACCAAACGTTTGACATCAATGGTGAATACAAGGCTTGAACTTCGGTGAATAATCTTGGTCTGTTTTCATTACATCCATATTCGGAAAAGAAAATTGGCACTGGTAGATGTTCAAAATCTGCAGTTCTGTCGCTGTATCCACTGGTGGTATAGGTTGCGTTACCGCACCATTCATACATATTGATACCAAAGAAGTCGGCCCTTTCTTCAACCGATCCACATGCAAAGTAATCGGCAATGGCAATTCTTGTGTCTTCGTCATCGTTTGAACTGTATCCAACGGGAATCTTTCTCATTCCATCGGAATCATCAATATACTTTTTCATATCGCGAACTGCTGCTTTAACAAATGGCGAAGCGCCGGTATTTGACCTGTTATTGGTGACCTCATTACCAGCAAAGAATCCCAACACGTTGGAGTACTCACTCAACTTATTGATAACCTCGGTGTATCTCTCATAATGGTCCAAATCCCACAGAGGATCATTACGGTTTATTGAAGTTTGTGGTTGTGACAAATCAGCAATCACGTAAATCCCCGCTTCACTTAAAAGTTGCATACACTCGTCATGGTCCAATTGTGGGTCAATGGCGTAAACTCTCAAACAGTTGGTATTTAGAGCTTTGAAATGTTCAACGTCTCGTCTACAAGAGTCAATGTCAGCCAAAGGGTCCTTGTAAGTGAGGTTTGAATCAGCAAGCAAAGATGTATCCTCTTGATATGCAATACCACGCATGAGAAATTGTGATCCATTGTTGGAGTAGAAGAATTTGTTACCGACAATTTCAATTGGTGGGGTAGTATCTTCGAACTTTGCCCAAGCTGTCGCTGAAAGTGATAATAAGCAAGAAAGAAGATGATTGAATCTCATTGAGTTTGTATAGGTGTATGTGCAATTGTATTGTACTGAAAGGTGAAGTTTGAGAATGTGAAAACTGAGGGTTCTAATTTAATGAGGAGTTCTTTTTTTTTGGCTCTGTTCTGTTCTGTTTTAGCTTTCTTCTAAAGTGGTGTATAAGTTCAGTCACTGAAGTCGTACGATTTGTATAGAGACTGTGTGTGTCTGTGTGGTTGCGAAAAATTGTAACAGAACAACGAGTGGAAAGCTGTTGTTTCTAGTTAGTGGTTGTTAATGGTGCCAAAAAAAAAAAAAAGAAAACTCCGTTCAGGATGAGCGAAAACGATGACACGACTGATTTGATGAGCATATCAAACTAATTACCCAGTTATTGAAGGATCTGATGAATATATATATATATAGTTAGCTTTAGATCTTTTACTCGTCCATATTGCCTCAAAATAATATCAGAGTTTTCAGAAGAATTTTTCTATTGCACAAAATTGGAACAAATCACACATACACACACACACACACACACTAAGAAAAATAATATTTCTTGTGTTTGTTGTTGTTGTTGTTGTTGTTGTTAATGGTTGATGTCGTGTAACTACTCATTTCCTTGGCTGGTGTGTTGTGTACTTATATGCTTTTACGTGTATATTCGTGTGCTAGCTTTGTATAGGTGAATAAGTTGAGTAGATCGAAAAGGAGAGATAAACCAAAGCGTGTCCAAACTCAATACGATGCAGTTTAGCTCGTATAAGTGCCGTATATTGCAGAAGTTTACGAATAATCTCCTACTACAGAATCGACTGAAGAAAACAAAAATGATTACTTTAAGCAATTGCTGTTCACTCACAAAGACGGTGACTAGTGAAGAGATTTTCTAAAGAGGCTGTGTCTATCACGCCAACAACTACGTGTAAATCGTATTTGGGTAACCCGTGTTTTTCTCCGTTGTTGTAGTTTAGCCGAGAAATTTCTATAGTGTGAGTTGTTGTGGCATAACGTGGTTTTGTCATTTTACTTTAATCACGTGACCGCTGATTAGGTTCTCGGGACACTTACTCGTGGTAGACAAGTCATTCGTAAAGAGTGAATGGCGTGGTGTGAAATTACACGTCAGGAAGTCAACTAGTTTGTAGTCTAGCATCAAGTCGATGTGGCTGATCCGCAGTTAGCTCTAGATTAAAAACGTGAATGGTTACTAATGAATCTCAAGAGTCAAGAAAATTCTCTTTCTTCTAGTGAAAACGCTTGGCAGGTAATAATAATACAAAAACACGTACAATCTTTGAATCATGACACACATACTCACACACTCACCCACTCACACTCACGCATGCATACATGCATGCATATTGTCATGAAATTCTTAGGTAAACAGTGATCATTGGATTTGAGAATAAAGGAGCAAAGCTGGTTTGTGGTGAAGATCGAGTGATGTATTTGCTTTTAAAGGGCTTGCGGTGGTCATGGGTGGTGATTTTGAAACTTTCATGTTTGAACTTACCTTCAGCAGATTTCAGGTTAATTATGCTCTCCTCATTTGTTTGAACCTCGCGTGACGAGACAGCAAGGTTGCCATTGCACACNCACACACACACACACACACACACTAGTCTACACAGTTGCATTCGAGGGTCCATATTTCCTGTGCTATCACATCCCTTACAGTCAGAATGTCCAAAACTGATGGTACACGGTATTAGCTAGTTCCTAATCTCGATATTCTTGCTGCTTTGATATCATAGCTTTGGACTGTGCATTTCAGAGACTACCAGTCAGTTTATATCTCTCCGTTTGTCAGCTTGTAGTTTCCTCAGAAAAAACAAAATTGTAGTTGGAGTTTCCTTGAAAAAAACTGACGATGCCCTTTGTGCTTCTCTTGAGACGGAAAACAATTTCAATCGCATGTAATTTATTCCATAAAGTAGTGACTAAGACTTTTACACGAGACATCCTGAGACTTCGCAACTGGTGTTAACTATACATGTTGATCACGTGCTATTTGCTCTTGGAGAAGAGAATTTTTCTCTCTCCCGAGGTTAAACTGGAATCGAAGTCACGATTCACCAAACCTCCTTCTCCGCCCACAATATTGCCACATGAGGACCACTGCAGTTAATTATTTTAAGTTTCGTTGGTGATTATTGTGGATTATATTTGAACCAATTCCTTCTTAGAGATTTAATTGTCGCTTTCTATTGACAACCTATTCGACTGCAAGCCATACAAGTGGGGATCCAGACCACTGCGTACTTGTGACCACATTGATTTGATGATACGAGAGAACTGCCGAATGTGTGCCTTGGGTATGATTCTGGAACTACATATGGCGAAGAGAAAACGTGGCTTTGAAAATAAAAGGTGAAATTTATGCTTCAATCGATGGACTGAATGCTTTTGGATCTTATCGTGAGAGACATCTTGTTTTACTGGAAGACAACTGCATCGCTCATTCAACTGAATGATCATGACTACGTGTTGTAATCAGCCAGCAAACATAGCAGCATGATAACAGAATGACAAAATGTATGCTCCTGCTAAGTCAACATGCGGTCGCTAGGGGATCCTTGTTGCAAATGGAAGGCAGTGAGCTTTACGTTCAACAGTATTGGTGTGTTCCACCGTTGGCCTAGTTTTTCCATTCTTTTTGTGTTTGTTTTGCGATAAGAATTACGCCTACAACCACTTTCACAAAATATTGCAAATTTCATAGGTGCCGCTTTTTTTTTTTCCATTTTCACAATCATATCAAACATACACAGTCAACAATGACAACTCAGTTACGCAACATTATCCTATTATTCATCTTCATTTCGGGTATCTTTGCCGCATCTTTGAACAAAGTTGGTGAATATGGCACTTATTTGAATCCAAATCCACGCAAAACTGCCAAGTGTGAACCGAATGATCTAGTCAAGTTATCCACTTGTTGTAACGATGTGCTTTCGAAATTAGATGAATGCAAGCCAAATGACTTAGCCTGTGAATGTTGTGCTTTGCAAAGTATTGACGACGAATGTTATCACTTGTGTCCTGGAAACCCGAGTACCAATTTTTTGACTGTGTTGTTACTGGATTGTGCTGCTATGAATGAGGTTAATGCTTGCTCTTTGCCTTTTAAGAAAGAGGATCCTGAACCACTTAGAAAGAGTATCGTCAGGACTGATGAAGAGGATCCTAGGATTTTGGATGATGCAGTTGATGCTAGCTTACAGAGCAAAGTTTACAACGTGGAGTCTTTGACTAAACAGCCGCATTTCAAAAGCGAGAAGCTTGATCTGACGGGTGAAAATGAAATGAGCGAGGTCCAGACTGATGCGTCGGATGATTCATTTGCTGCTGTGGGTGCAGTGATTTTCGTGAATACCTCCTCCAATCATTCTAATATCTCAACTGTCGGTTTGTTGAATGAGCAGAAATCAGGCTCATCTGGGTCTACGATACCAGCCATGGTGGTGCTTTTCATCTTAGCAACAGTCCTTGTTATTCAAGAGTTTTAACCAGACTAATATCATGCACATGCCATGATCTGGAGAAGAGTGGGGGGGGGGGGGCTAGAGGACTAATGGAATTTATTTTACTCAGTTAATTTACTTTATTCTTTTTTTTTTTTTTTCAGGTTTAGTCTTTGTAAAATAAACACTCCTATCTCTTATAATTTTTCATTTATCCATTCGAGAGTGTTTACTATTCCCGTCTCCAAATCCACTGCTGGTTTATATCCCAACAATGTCTTAGCTTTTGCAATGTTGTGATATCTTGTAGCACATACCACCCTCACTCTAAATGGTGTCAAACCTGGTTCTTTTCCCAAAAAGTTTGAGACAAATTGTGAAATGTAACCCAAACCAATAGCAACTGTTCTATTCAACTTTATGTAATATGGGTCAATAACTCCATCGTTCTTCCATACCGTTCTTGCCAAAGTCCAGAAATAAGTTGGTGCATCATTAGTAATGAAAAATGTTTCTCCAGAAACATCGTCTCTTGTGTTCTCGTCCAAGAGCTTTTCGGCTGCGAGTACATGGGCATCAGCAACGTTTCCGACATATGTCCAATCAAATAGATTATTATTGTCTCCCAATTGGTACTTTGATTGTCCCAATTTGGCACTTGCTTTCAAACCAGGCACCAATTGACGATCACCTGGACCAAATATACCAGCTGGTCTTAAGCTCACGGTTCTGAATCCATTTTTGGGGTCGTTAGCTTCCAACACAGCCGTCTCTGCTATAGCTTTGGTCTCATTGTATCCATCCATGTGCACTTCTGGATATGGCCACGTTTCGTTGGCATTGATAACATTCTGACCATTGAAAATGACTCCTGCTGATGATGTGTACACAAAAGATCCTACGCCAGTTTCCTTGGCTACTTTGAGCAAATTCGTAGTACCTTGTACATTCACTTTTTCGTAAATGTCTTGAGACAATCCATGCATCGGTGATGCTGAATGGACAAGAACGTCACATTTGGACTTTCGGATAGCGTCCGATACATCCTCGGCGTTATTTAAGTCACCTTTGAAGAACTCGATTGTACTGGGATCAAATGTGAAGAATTTCGACAATTTCTCGGGTAATGGGCGAACGTCAAACACGGTTACTTTAATTCCGGGACAATGTGTGACAAATTGTTGGATTAGATGAAGACCTAAAAACCCCGAGCCACCAACCAAAAGAACAGATTTCAAATTAGTATGCGCCATGTTTGTCAATTAAGAGAGTTGTCGTATAAAAAGCTCAGTGAAATTGGATCTTTAAGAAGAGGAGGAATTTTCCGATTGGTGTGAGTCGGTAGGATATTCGCGTCGTAAAAATTATTCCTTACATCGTACAGTGGAGTTTTTAAAGAAAAGATTCAAGCACATATCTCTTCATTCTCAGCCATTTATTCAAGAGGTAACTTAGCAAGTTATTGAAAAACTGATCCAGGTATTACTAGTACGCCAACAAGCCGGACTCTTTCTAAAACCTCCCTTGGACAAACTCCAAATGCGGAATACATGGTCACGTGATTGTGTGTAAAATGTTGCATTACAAAGCCCATAATCTTCAATTCAATTGCATGAATAATAGTATGGCAAATTTTTCAGATTGTGTTAGGTTTGACTAAGTAAGTATCTCGATATGTACATAGTTTTATTGCAAACAGAGGTACACGTATTCAATCCATCTACGCCAGACAATGTTAAGAGAGAGCACGCAAATCAAAATCAAAATCAAAACAAAAGTGGAAAAGAAAAAGAAAAAAAAAAAAACAAATACAAATACAAACATTCGACCCTTGAAATAGTATTCCAGCCCAAGGAAAACATTATATTGACAGCTTATACCCCATTCTGAATCCAGATCTACACTAATATCGCCAGATAAGTATGTCCTCAAGTGAAAAGGATTCCAAAGATGATATCAGGTCGCAATTGTCCGATATGCAAAAACGATTGTTTAGCAAGAAATCATCAAACAACGCGTTGAAAGAATCCACTAGCTCTAATCTGCTGCAATTGCCTCAGGAAAGCCCCTTGTCTCCGCATAATCACGATCAAGAAAACTTATTTGCCTCATCACTACAACAGTCACGACGTCCCAGACACGAAGTGGGTTTACCGGGTGTCAAGCGACCAAAAAGGGGAGAGAACTTACATCCTTCCTTGCCCGTTGGAGTAGAATCAAAAGGTAACGACATGAATTTTGTGGTTGGCTTAAGTGAAAACCTTTTAACCGAATGTAGAAGGTTGAATGCAGACAATACCAGGTTAAAGCTGAAGTTGAAACAAGCGATGCAAGACGTGGAAACGTTGAAGGAGGAATCTCATAAATTGAGCGCCTCAAATGAGGTGTTTTCATCCAATGAGAGTGAACTAAAGGATAGCAACTGGCAATTGGAGACACAAGTTGGCTCTTTGAAGGATGACTTGCAAGCACTTGAAAAAAGCAATGACAAGTTGAAGGTACTACAAGAGGATTTGAATACTAAGATAAACCAATTGACAAAGAATAATGATGAATTGGATATCACAAACAGTTTGCTACTGAAGAAACTAAAGGATATAGAAACAAAATATGAGAAAGATATCAGAGAGTTGAGTCAACGTGTCGAGAGCCTCAACGATGAAAATGATATCTTACAATCCAAGATTGCTACTGGTGGCTCAGAACCGCTGACGCGTCAGGTAGAAGCTCTGAACGTTGTTAACGGCGTGTGTGTTACTGAACTAGAATCTATCTTGAAAGACTTTGAGCAAGCCCAAGACCAGTCCCCAGGTTCCGCAGATGGGCATGCAGAGACTGTCATAGAGAAGTTGAAAACCTTTCTAAGTGATGTACGATTGCACAGGGCGGACAGCCAGTCCACTGAACAGGGTCAGAATATCGCGTCACGGTCAGCAGAAAAGGATGTGAAGCTATCTGTAGACGATATGCTCAAATCCATTCAAAGCTTGCCCCAAACTGCTGAAAATGATTCGAGAATCAGGTCCTTAGTAGAACAAAGGGGTATGAAAATAGTGCCAGCCGAAGACTACTGCAAACTTATCAACCAAGTGGAATCCGCCCATTCACAACAAGAAAAGAGAGACGCTCTCTTGGAATTACAATTAGAGGAGCTCAAACAAAAAGCTCAACTTTATGACCTGCCTGATATAAAGTACATAACCGATCATGCCAAATCACTAGGTTACGTTGTTGTTGATGGTAAGACTTATGAGGAATTGAGCGATCATGCTAACTCTCCCAGTCTCGATCATATACTTGAAAAGGCAAAGAAATATGACAGGGCTGTGATTCCAACACAAGAGTTGCAAAACCTTCTTGACCCAGATGAAGATCAGATTAGGAACAAGGCAAAGGAGTTGAATTTGAAAGTTTTATCCCAATCCGAGGTTGATTCTTTGACGTCTCCGCCATTATCTACAATAAAGGATCGAGCAACAACATATGATCACGTCGTTGTTCCGTCTGAAGAATACAACACTATCCAAAAGCAAATCAAGAGTCCCACGTTGGAATATTTGAAAAAACATTTATCTTCACATGAGCATACTTCTATCAGTAAAGAGGAGCTCCATAATTTGCACGAAAGTGCTAACAATCCAAGCATTGGCCAAGTAAAACAACATGCGGATAAAAAGGGGTTGATAACAATGACCAAAGACGAGCATGAGGAACTATCTCTACTTGTTCATGAACCTAGTAATGACCGATTAGAACTGCTAGCTCAAGCAAGGGGCTATAGTCTTATTGAAAAGCAAAGTTTGGAAAAGTTGAAAAAGTTGTCATCAGACCCACCCATCGCACACATACACGATCTTGCCGCGAAGAACAATTTGACTGTTCTTTCAACAGTCGACCACAACGAATTAGAGCGTTTGTCCCGCCAGCCCGACTTGGCCCACATTGAGCAAGTTGCGTCCAAGATTAACTACACAGTGCTTGCAAACGACGAGCTCAGCGATTTGAAGAGCAAGGCTGAAGAGCCAACCATAGATCAACTTACAGCTGCAGCACTGAAGAGAAACTACAAAGTGATGTCAAATGATGACTACAAGTCTGTTCTTGAAAGAGCTGATAATCCCGACTTGGCCCACATTAAGCAAGTTGCAAGTAAACATAATCACGTGCTTCTTGGCAAATCTGAATTCGAAAACGTAAAGAGGCAAGCAAATGAGCCTACTCTCGAGGAAATTAAATCGAAAGCCGCTAGTGTGGGATTGGTTACTGTGACAGAAAAAACGTACGAGAAAATGAATCATCCAGCAAAAGAGGATATACAAGCCCACTGTGATAGAATGAGCCTCCACCTTTGCCTGCAATCCGAATTCAAAGAACTCTGCGAAAGACTCGAAGCTCCCAAGTTAGAATATCTCAAGAGCAAGGCTGAACAGTGTAAGTATTCATTAATTGAGGATGAAGAACTTGCTACTTTGAAAAAAACAGCAAATAATCCTAATTTGGCATTTTTGAAAGAAAAGGCAGATGGAATGAATTATGCTATTATATCTAAAGACGATCTTGAGGCTATGGGCAGAAAAGTATCCAATCCAAATATCAATGAATTACAGACTCTGGCTAAGAGTATAGGTTGCGTTGTCCTTGATGAGAAAGAATATGAGGGCTTATTAAATCCTTCGAAGGAGAAACTTGAAAAGACCGTCAGCGCTCTCGGCTTTTTGTTAGTTACTTCTGACGAATTTGAGAAATTGACGCTGCTTGCGAAAAAACCCTCAAAGGAGTTTTTGATCACAAAGGCATCGGACATGAATTTAGTGGTTGTACCAGAGAAAGAGTATAGTGAGTTGTGCGGTAAAGCTAATAATCCATCGAAAGAACACTTGGCTCAGAAAGCAAAAGATATTGGTTTCGTTGCTATTCCTGAGCAGGACCATGAAACTTCGCGTTCGCAGTTAGCTAATCCTACCATTGACTTTTTGAGAGAAAAGGCAAAATTGTACGATCAAGATTTGATCTCACATTCGGCCTTGGAAGAATTACAAGTTGTTGTAAGTCGTCCATCATTGGAGCATCTAAGGGAAAAGGCTCAATTCTATAATGCGACGATTGTGGATTCACAGGAATACGAAACATTGAGAGATTCTGAAGCCTCTCCTAGTGCAGAGCAGATTAGAGACAAAGCATTAAAGAATGGGTACGATATAGTTCAGCAAGAAGAACTCGCAGAGTTAAGAAGGATAAGGGATGATCCGAATGCTGATGATGTGAGTAGAATGGCTGCAAGTTTGGATCTTGTCGTCTTGTCAGAGTCAGAACGTAATGTGCTTTCTCAACGCATTGAGTCGCCTAGTGTGGATTATTTAAGCGAGCATGCCCTTAAATTGAACTACACAATGGTCAAATCACAGACTTACGAAGACTTGAAGGCATTCGTTGAAAGCCCATCGAAAGAGTTCATAACAGAAAAAGCACACTCTGTTGGTTTGGCGGCAGTGCCAGAGGAGGAGTATTTGGTGCTATGTCACAGAGCAAACGACCCCGATTTGGATGAGTTGATGGCACAAGCCAAGACCAAGAAGATGACCTTGATCAACATTAATGAACTTGAAAAGTTGCACTCTCAACTTTCAGGACCTAGCTTAGAATATTTGTCCGAACATGCAGCAAAGACGGGTAATGTGGTAGTTTCCGAAAACGAGTTGGCTACTCTCAAAGAGCAAGTAGAGTCACCCACAAGCGACTATTTGAAGGAGCAATGTGGCAAGCACAAGTTGGCAGTTCTTCTGGAAACAGAGTTGGGAACGTTGAGATCTACAGTTGACTCGCCATCCGTGGACTTTTTAGTTGAGAAGGCAGAGGCTACGGGCTTCAAAGTCGTCAAAAACACCGACCACGAGGATATTGTCAGGCGTCTTGAAAATCCCGATGTAGACTACTTGAGGTCCCATGCTGCCAAAAAAGACATGCAATTGATTGGATCCGCGGACCTAGCCGCTTTGAACTCGCGACTTGAAAACCCTACATCAGAGTACTTGTCCGAACATGCAGCAAAGACGGGTAATGTGGTAGTTTCCGAAAACGAGTTGGCTACTCTCAAAGAGCAAGTAGAGTCACCCACAAGCGACTATTTGAAGGAGCAATGTGGCAAGCACAAGTTGGCAGTTCTTCTGGAAACAGAGTTGGGAACGTTGAGATCTACAGTTGACTCGCCATCCGTGGACTTTTTAGTTGAGAAGGCAGAGGCTAAGGGCTTCAAAGTTATCAAAAACGAGGATTATTCAAAGTTTACTGGACTTGTTGAAAGCCCAGATCTAGAGTTTTTGAAGACACACGCAGCGAGATATAACATGGAGCTCATTCCACATGCAGACTACAAAGCTTTGCTCAAACCTGACAAAGCCTCAATAGTAACCCATGCATCTGCTTTGGGATTGGCAGTGATTTCTCAACCTGATCTTGACAATATGAGAAAGAAGATAGATTCACCTGATCTTGAATACTTGAAATCCAAATCAAAAGGACTTAATCATGAAGTGATGAGCAGTGCTGACTTGTCCTCTTTACAAAACTCACTTCAAAATCCAAGTCAGGGATATCTCGAAGAAAAGGTAGAATCCATGGGTTATGTACTTGTTGAGAAGCATGAACTTGATCACTTGCGTCTAGCCGCTGATGCAAAGGAACTGAAAGACTTTACGTCGACAGCTTTGGAAGCCCATAGGAGTGGATCAAATGAGTCAAAGACTAATGACCCAAGCCATAGTGACAATCTTGAAGACAGAGAATTGAAGAACTTATCGAGTGATCTGCTCAGCATTGATGACAATGGATCTGCAATGAAAAAATTGAAGACTTATTTACGTGAACGCGGAATGTCAATTGTTCCCACGACCACCACTAGATCAAGTTTCAGTTCTACTAATACCAATGACTTTGATGATGCAAACAATTCATTTGGGGCTTCCACAATTCAGCGCGCCCCTAACAGCGAGGAGGTTGAGTCAAAGAAAGATGACCATGAACTCATCAAAACCATTAGTGAAAATACCCTCGCCGCTGCTGCCAACCAGTACTCGCTTTCACTTGTGCCTGACTCTGAATTGATTTCCTTGAAAAAGGATCGATTGAGTAAAGAAAGACTAGAGAACAGAATTTCCAGGTTGGCAATCGAGTTAAAGGAGTTGAACTTTGATTTGGTCGAAAGAAGGGATGTCATAAGAGGCCTTGAGAGTGAAATACTTCAAATTGAGTGGTCCGTATCAAAGGAACATGTAAGGTCTTGTGCAAGCAGTCTTGGTCTTTTGTGCATTAGTGCAAATTACTATGTTGGTACCACCACACATCCTCGCCCGGATGCTGATCACGTGAAGGTTGTTCCTGCAAGTTATTTCACCCAGCTTTTGAAATACAAATCGACCTCTGTGGAGAGAATTTCGGACGAGATGTTTGATCAATATGCAAAGAAACGAGGTTATGTCATAAAGGGGTCTGAAAAATTGAATGTGATGCCAGCTGAAACGGATGATGACTCTAGTGTGAAGGCTTGGCCCACAAGCCATTCTTTGTCACCTGGTGACAGTCATGATGGAGCGGATACACCACCAATGGTACATTTGGAAAGGCATGTTCCACATTCGGTTTCGATGAGATCAAACCTCTCGGAGTTTAGTACGACATCGCTTAGATCAAATACTATGTTCTCCATGGCAACTAATGTATCCTTCACTGATAAGCTGATGATTCCAGCAATCACGCAAGTTGTCATTGGAGAGTACCTTTTCAAATATTATAGGGGTTTCGGTTCGGCCTTTAGCGCCTTTACAGGAACAAGACATGAGAGATATTTTTGGGTTCATCCTTATTCATTAACCTTATACTGGTCTGAGAGTAATCCTGTTTTGTCGGATCCGGGATCAAGAAAGATCAGAGCTGCTGCCATTGTGGATGTTGATAGTGTTAATGATAACAATCCCCTCCCTACTGGCTTATACCATAAAAGCATTATCGTGCGTTCCACTGATAGAGCGATCAAGATCACCTGTGCAACAAGGCAGCGTCACAACATATGGTATAATGCTTTGCGTTACTTGATACACCGTAACGTTGACGACTTGAGTGTTGATGCGGAGGGGGCTGTTGATGAGGAGAACATCGAGGCATCTTCTTTACTGCAGACGATGGAGATGCGAAACTCCGCTTCTCATAGGAATCTAGAATCGTTGAAGGACACAGGTGATAGGCGAGCATTTCCAAGGCCGAAACGGATCAGCTCTCAAGAGGTGGTGCCATCACCAAGAAGTCCGGGAGTTTCGAGACTCCTGTCATTCAAACGATCGTAAGAATGAATTGAAAACCAAAGACTTTTAGGCTGTATATAGGGATTGTGTGCAAAATATAGAATATAGTTTTTAGTTGGGTTTTTCTATGTACAAGTTCTTATTGCGAATTTCCAGTAAAGATAATGTCTCCCGTCTTCTTCTGAATAGTACATCACTAAAGTTGAAAATGAGCACTAAAATGGTTGCCACACAACCTACACCTGCTGTTACACCGAGAATGTCACTATAACACTTATTACCCAAAACACATCCCAAGCTTGTGATAATGTCGCCGCTTTCGCTCGTAGTTAACGAGTCTACCTTTTTCGATTTCAAATCGTACTCCTTACCAAACATGCTGGTGAAATAATAGCTGGGTCCTATAGGTGCGAGACAAGTTATTCCCCAATTAAAAGAGAAATTTTCCATTCCAAAAATATCCCCTACTATGATGGGTATTAGACAAAATGTGAACCCATAAAAAAGACCTACTGAAAAGGAATTTAGTGGAAGGTTGGCGTATTGTTGGGTGCTTGAAGTAAGCAATTGACAAAAAGTTGTGCCCACGGAAGGTATTAATAGAAGCCATGACCTCGGCATTGAAAAGGATTGGGTGATAATATCACCTAGGATACCAGACAAAATTCTTCCAACGCAATTTGCAATCGAAATCATTCCTACTTGTAGTTGTTGTTGTTGCTGAATTAGCACATCAATCTTGTCACCGGTCGTTGTGATTTCCAAGTTTTGTTCAGCAATAGTGAATCCAACCAAGGACTTGACGATGTAGCCCACTGAATAAATGTACATTTGGCCCAAGGAAGCCAACGAGCCGAGAATTGCAAAAAGTAGCCAAAATTTGTAACTCTTGAACAATTCGGCTTTGGAATCAGGATTGACACTTTTTTCTCGAAGCTCCAAGGAGTGGTTATTTCTGAATGTAGAAGCGTTTCGAAGCTTATGCTCTTTGTCCGCTATGTAAACACTTGGAAAGCAAACAAAGCAAATTGCAACAATAGATATGCCAACAAATCCCAAAAACTCTGAGGTTCTCCCCGTGTAAAAGACCGAAGCAATTACAGAATAGAAAAGTGCGCTCAACCCGTACAATGCAAGGGGTAAAGAAGTTGCAACTCCTCTGATACTGGGAAAACTCACTGCGCAGCACTTTAGGCATGCAGAATTGATAAACGTTGACCCCAACCCTATTGAAAATAACCAAAAGCAGGATAGTTTAATCTGGCTGTGCTGTTGATCATATTGGCATTTCATGCCACCATAGCCCGAAATGATGAGAAGTGCGCCAATGAACAGCGACAACGTGTAGCCTCTGCGATCAACTACGGCACCGGAAATTGGCCCTGCGAGTGCCGTTCCAATTGTGCCCCAGAGAGCTATTTTGGAGGAGTCCGATGCTGAGTAATGCAATTGCTCTGCTAATTGTGGGCTGTACGACGAATAAAGGTACAATGTTCCGCATATTAGTCCTAAGAAGGTGCATGATAGTAGAACAAGAACTCTCTGCACGTTTCGTGATATCATGCTAATTTCGATCTTTCATAAATAACAATTGTGTTGTTAAAGATGCGATTAAATGGTAGGGTGTAGTTTTACTTCTCAACACTGACACGCGTAAACTAGTTGGACTGTTTTTGTTGGAGACTTTTTTATGTTTCCTTTTTTTTTGTTGTTGTTGCGCTGATCTTGTGCTGGACAGATCTAGTCTTTGCATACAACCACCACCTCTCACTCATATGTGTGGTAACAACTGGCAAGAGAATGTATCTATTAGAGTTGATAGAGATTTCTGCAGGTTGTATATTTCTGAGAAAACACGAAGAAGGAAGAGCAGAGAAAATCAAACATGGATGAAACTACAGAAACCTCTTCATTTCAGCTTCGTCGATGCCCATAGAGTTCTAGGACAGGTGGGTACTGTTAGTAGTTCATTCTTTGGGTAGGAAGGAGCAAAAAAAACGTACCAATATGCTCTTTGTCTCTGTGATATCAAGCACCGTGCCACGAAGTGACTTAAACTGTACGTATGTTGTTAGTATGTGGTGTTCTTCTAACTCATGGTCTCAACTTACAATCTCTTTGTATTGCTTGCTAACACGTCTCAACTGGGAAATGTGCGAATTTGTGTCCTTGATATTAAGGGGATTATTACGAGGATGTTGCTGTTGGTTTCTCAAAACTTCTAACTCTGTCTTAGCTTCAACAAGTCTCTGGCTGATTTCGCTGTTGGAAGGTGTTAACTTGAGATTTTTCAATTCTTGAATTGAAGGTTAGTCCACAGTCTACTCAAGTTCACCTTTTTGTGAATGTACGTACCTGTTGCAAGTTCGTTCAATTCAACCTCGACCTCAGCAGTCTCCTTCTCAATCTGTGGAACTTCATCCAATAGCTCTGTATACGAACTCTCTAGTTCTTGTGACAACATTTTGAAACAGTAGTAGCTAGTCTTCCCCACCGTTTTAACAATGAGCTCCTTCTCTTTGACAAGGGTTGCTAACCCCTTGCTCAATTTTTGTTTCGGGACCTGATTGTGCAAGTTCAACAAAATATCATTAGTCGAATATGGTCTGTATTGGGCTTTCATGTAGTTGCTTATGATGGCTTTGATGTTGTCTATATCTTGAGCTTTCTTTGTTTGTGGCATTTTGGTGTTAGTGCTGATACGGTGTTAGATATAGATATCGTGTGGGATCAAAACAGAAAATGTTGACAATTTCCTCAAAGTTTTGCAACCAGAAATCTTTAGTTGGGGCTAAATGAAACTAAAGTGGCCAGTTACTCTATACTCCCACAGTTACACCAAAGCTTAAATACTTCCAGTGTTGTGAGATTTGTCTTGACTAGAGAGCTCATGCAGTCGTTGTCAATTTAGAACATTTGAGGTGACCATTTCTTCAAGCTCTTAATGTGTTGATAACTTTGAAGTTAACAAAACAAAACATCTTCTTCGTAAAATTGTTGCGAATTTGTGGAAGTTGTGGCAATTCATAGATCTTTTTCAAGGCACAAATTAATTGCGGGTTGCTTTCAAAGTTCAGTATGATATATTTCAAATGCTTCTCTTTCGAATAATACTAGTTACAGACTCTTAACCTTGCACAGAGCATGAGATAGAAAAAATGCCATTTTAGTATGGTGTGCTAAGTAGTGCAATTTTTGAAAACCTCAAAATGGAGCAAGATGCTTAAAAATGATATTTGCGTATCTCCAGAGGTGTCTCTACATATAAGTATGTTTATCTTTGATATACTAGACTAAAACGTTCATCTAGCGGTGCTTGAAAAGTACTCATAATTATGGGAAAGGGGCAGATTTTTGGATTTTTTCGCATCATGTAAGTCCAACTCTCAAGTGCAGTTCATAAAAAAATTCCCAATCAATCTAGTAGAACCGGCTGAAATATACACTCATTATTTGAAATATGTATACACATATCTTGACTATTCTATCTAAGGGTGCGAATTCTATGAATAAGCTTTCACTCAATTATTTAGGGTCACTATTAGTCGTCTATATCTTCAGACAAGGACGCAGCTCCAAATGATTCAGCCA